TGCCCACAACCAAGGTACATGCCATTGATTGGAATCGAACCTGGGACCCTTTAGTCCCCAGGCCAATGCTCTATGCAGTGAGCCAAACCAGCCAGGGCATAATTGCTTTTTCTATCCATGTACCCATATAAGTTGATATCACATCATCTTTAACTAGAGGCCCAGTGCACAAAATTCGTGGACTGGTTGGGTCCCTAGCAGCTGCTGGCCACCAGCTGGGTCCTCCCTTCCCCGGCTTTCAATCCGCACCAACCCTGGTAATCAGCACATGTCATAGCAAGCAAAGGAACTCCTGGTTGGTAGAACTCCCAAGGGGAATCTGCAAATTAGGCTTTTATATATATACGAGAGGTCTGGTGCATGAGATTTGTTTATGGTGAGGGTTCCCTTCAGCCCAGCCTGCACCCTTTCCAATCCAGGACCCCTCAGGTGATGTCCAACTCACAATCCTAGACCACTGGCTCCTAATTGCTCACCTGCCTGCCTGCCTGATCACCCCTAACTGCCCCCCTCCCTGCCAACCTGATCACCCCTCACTGCCTCTGCGTGCTGACCTGATCGCCCCGAACTGCCCCCCCTGCCGGCCTGGTTGCTACTAACCGCCTCCCGCTGCTGGCCTGGTTGCCCTCAACTGTCCCCTTCCTGCCGGCCTGGTTGCTTGTAACTAATCCCCCTTCTGGCATTGTCACCCTTTACTGCCCTCCCCCCTGCCAGCCTGGTCACCGCCAACTGCCCCCCCTCTGCCAGCTTGGTCGCCACTAACTGCCCCTCGCCCGTCACAGTCCCCCCACCAGCCTGCTCGTCCCACACAGCCTACCTGTTCAGTCGTTGGGTCGTCCCTCACTAACCCCCTGCCAGCCTGGTTGTAGGCAGCTATCTTATGAGGGTATGAGGGTTAATTTGCATATGACTTCTTTGTTATATACGGTATATAGATGTTGTGTGTCTTATTGCAGAGATTTAAGATTTTATTCCTTTTATATACTTTTTATTTTTAAAAAATACATTTTTTAAAAAAATATTTTATTGCTTTTTTACAGAGAGGAAGGGAGAGGGATAGAGAGTTAGAAACATCGATGAGAGAGAAGCATCGATCAGCTGCCTCCCGCACACCCCCTACTGGGGATGTGCCTGCAACTAAGGTACATGCCTTTGACCGGAATCAAACCTGGGACCCTTTAGTCTCCAGGCCGACGCTCTATCCACTGAGCCAAACCGGTTAGGGCTAAAAAATACATTTTTATTTCAGAGAAGGATATGGGGGGGAGAGAGAGAATCATCCAAGATGAGAGAGAATCATTGATCATCCACCCCTCACTAGGAAATGAGCCCACAACACTGGCATGTGCCCTGACTGGGAATCAAACTGTGACCTCCTGGTTCATAGGTAGACCCTTAACCACTGAGCCATGCCACTCAGACTATTCCTTTTATTTTCTAAAGTTCAACATAAGAAAACAAAGTGATAACTGTTTCTTTATTAGAACACCACAAATTTTGATATTTCTGTAGAGTTTTCCATAGACAAGGCATCTTGATATATTCACTAGAGGCCCAGCGCGTGAAATCGTGCGAGACGCAGAGTCCCGCCACTGCTTTTGGGGGACCCAGAGTCCCTCCCGCCACCACTGTGGGACCCATCAATGCACCTCCTGGTGACTGGTCATTTGGTCGTTCTGGCATTACAGCCACTGGCTTTTTATAATATTGATATGTTAGTGTTGTGTAGAATATTTAAATTACCTCCAGAGGTATATATATTTAGGATTATTTATAGGTCAGATCTAATAATGAGAAGGTCTAATAATTAGAGAGTTTTGGAGCTGGAAAAGTTTTTTCCTCTCCATTGTTAATCTGTTTTGTCAGTATTCTTGTTGGATGGTTTCTGTTCATTTATCAGTTCATTGTTTTATTTCATGCCCTTTTTTCCCTCCGATAGTATTCTTCTTAGAAACCCTTCAGTGATCTTAGAAGGGCTGTCCTTTCCATGAAAAGCTGTTTTTTTATGTGCTTTTAGAATAATATTCTGGAATTCCTGATATTTTCATTGTATTTTTTTCTTATCTGTTCTCATGTTTATATTCACTCTACTTAGAATTCAGTAAGCTTCTTGCATTTGTATGTCTCTTTCTCCAGTTGTCAGGATCTTAAACGATTAATTTTTTATATAAGCTACCTTATCCTTTTCACTATCCTGTCCTTATGGGGTCCTCCTGGAGTTTGATTTGTTAGTGTCTTAGGAGTTTCTTATATTCTCCGTATTTCCACATATTTATCGGCTTCTCGGAATCAAAATTTTAATGATTTATGTACAAATTCTTTGATTATTTAATTATTATTTTTTAAATGAATTGATTACAGAGAGGAAGGGAAAGGGAGAGAGAGAGATAGAAACATCAATGAAGAAAGAATCATTGATTGGCTGCCTCCAGCATGATTGGATATGGAGCCTTCAACCCAGGCTTGTGCCCTGATGTGGAACCAAACTGTGACCACCTCGTTCATAGATTGAAGCTCAATAACGAGCCACAGCTTCCAGGCAAATTCTTTTTTTCCTCTCTGTTCTTTAAAAAAAATTTTTTTTCTTTATTGTTGAGATTATTACAGATGTCCGTTTTTTCCCCCCTCCCCCATAGCTCCCCTCCACCCGGTTCCGACCCCACCCCTGGCCCTTGCAACCCTATTGTACATGTCCATAGATACTGCATACATGCATATAAAATATTTGTCTAAATTCATCCGGCACCCCCCACACCCCCTTCCCTCTGAGAATCGTCAGTCTGTGCCATTTCCATGCCCCTGATTCTATTACATTCACCAGTTTATTCTGTTTATCAGATTTTTTATTCATTTCATTTTTAGATTCACTTGTTGATAGATATGTATTCACTTTTTTCATAATTTTTTATCTTTACCTTTTTCTTCTCCTTCCTCTTCTTAAAGAATACCCTTCAGTATTTCATATAAGATGGTGTGGTGGTGATGCACTCCTTTAGCTTTTTCTTGTCTATGAAGCTCTTTATCTGACCTTCAATTCTAAATGATAGCTTTGCTGGATAAAGTAATCTTGGTTGTAGGTTCTTGTTATTCATCACTTTGAATATTTCTTGCTACTCCCTTCTGGCCTGCATAGTTTCTGTTAAAAATCAGCTGACAGTCATACGGGTATACCCTTGTAGGGAACTAACTGTTTTCTTCTTGCTGCTTTTAAGATTCTCTCTTTGTCTTTTGCCCTTGGCATTTTACTTATGATGTGTCTTGGTGTGGTCCTCTTTGGATTCCTTTTGTTTGGGGTTCTCTGCGCTTCCAGGCCTTTCATATGCAAAGTGTGGGTGTGGTAGTAAATTGGGTAGGGTGGGGTCTCAGGGAATCTCCAGGGCGAAGCAAACAGCAATGGCTGCTAATCAGCCCTGTACCGGGGAGATCCCAGCAAAGGAACCATGACCACTGCGAGCACCTCTGTCTGGAAGAAAGCTGCCTCTGTGTTCATGCCCCAATGCCAGACCATCCAGTTTCTTGCGGTATATATATATATGTGTCCCCCCGAGTCTCACACGGCACTGGAGCTCAGAGCAAGCAGAAATTTGTATCTCCCTCCCAATTAAAAAAGTGACACACCTGGGTGCCAGCCCATGCCACGCCTCCGCACCTCCTACCAGTCTCAATGTGCTTTCTTCTTTACCTCTCTAGCCATCTTTCTGGCCATTCTGGACGATAATTGTTCTGTATTTTAGTTGTAATTTTGACGTGGCCGTGGGAGGCAGCAGGTTACAGGTGTTTACCTATTCCGCCATCTTGGTGCCTCTCTCCCAGGCAAATTCTTTGATGTTTAAGTTGAAGATGTCTTTCATTAATGATTCTACTGTATTTTTAAATTTGTGTATTCTGTTTTTCAATTTCCCCTTTCACGGTGGTGTTTGTAAAATACTTTCTCATTGTATTTTCATTTTGGTTCTATAATATTTTGGTGATATTATATAGTTGTCTTTTTTATTCTCCTTTTCGGCTTTAAGATATTTAGTTCCATTTCTTTTTTTACAATAGATTTTTATTGATTTCTGAAACAAAGCGAGCGGGAGAGAGATGGAAACATGAGATGGAAACATGAATGATGAGAGAGAATCATTGATCAGCTGCATCCTGCATGTCCCTCCTCTGGGTATCAAGCCTTTAACCCAGGCATGTATGTACCCTTGACTGGATTTGAACCAGGGACCCTTCAGCCCACAGGCCGACACTCTATCCACTGCGCCAAACTTATTCAAGTAATTAATATCTTTCTATTGATGTAGTCCCAATTTCTTTATCTGATGGTACACTTTTTCTGATTCTAAGCATGACTTGGTATGTTTTGTTGAGATTCCGGAATTGTAAACAACCAGGCTTTTGAACATCCTTTCTATAGGAGGAAAGAAATAATAACCATCTGTGGCACACATTCTACTTTCATTGAACACTGTTTTGAGTTCCTGTATTCTTCGTTCTGTTGTCTGTTTAATTTCACAGTTGAAATGTTCTCTGTGTCTTTCTGAGACCCATGGTATCTTTTCAGGCTTGATACACATCTTCAGTACTGCAGTCTTTGTGGTGCTCCAACAATTTATCATTGTTTCTTTGTAGCAGCCACTACAGGGCACTCACTGTGTACTGCCATTCCATTCGCACTCTGTGTCATGCACAACAGACACATGTTCTTGAAGATGCTTCAAAACAGTGAGATCATTGAACACGCACTTCCCTCATCTCTGTCTCCAGCAGAGAAACTGGGAATTGGAAGTGTTGTTATAATATTGCCATTGTGTGACAGGGTGTTTGAGCAGGTATCATGGGCAGATGTTAGCAACTCTTTGCCTCTATTTGATGTGAGTTTTTGTCCTTGTACCTATCTTGGGCTTTCTTTGAATTCTTCACTGGCTCTTAGAGTACTCCAAAATGTCATTTGGTCAATACTTGCTGTGCACTTACCTGATTGTCAAAACTGAAAATTTGTTTTCTTTTAGCTATACCATCAAAAGATAACCAAGCCTTTATGCCAAAGCCCGGAATACAGGATTTATTCCCTGAAATAATACTGGTAAGATATAAAAGGTGTCGCTTTGAAAATGTACATTTAATGAAAGCCTTGGAATTTGAGGAAGAGTGTGATGAGAAGAGAGGATATTAATATAAACAGAACAAATCTGGAACAGTTATAATAAATTTCTTGTTACTTGAGCATGTCAGGTGTACTTTGGATTTGGAAAACCTCCCTTACTAAAGTCAGTTATATTGGCAGATAAGTGTGTTTCTGCACGTGAAGGTTGAAAACAACTTTTTGCTGTTACCCAATCTTGGAAAGGAAATCTAGAAAAACTAATAACTCATGTAGTCTTTAGAGTAAATAATCATTTGAATTGTTAAAAAGGTAGGATGGGATTAAACTTTCACTCAATCATTTCTAAAATGTATAAATTTATAATGTATCTATATCATAAAATGTGCACAATTTGGCAATCTTCTATGATTTTTTTATGAAAAATGTATTTTTATTGATTTCAGAGAGTAAGGAACAGGAAGAGAGAGAGGAAAACATCAATGATGAGAGAGAATCATTCATTGGCTGTGTAGCTGGACAAGTGGAATAAGAAGTTAACTAGAAGAGGACGTTCTGCCGAGAAAAGGCGGGGGCCTGCAAGCAGGCCATGTCAGAACAAAGTCTTGCACACAAGACTTATTGTTCAGAGGCAGAATTTCCTTGAGGTGATAAATAGTTCATGAGGGGATGGAAAGCCAGAGAGGGTACACTGCTGCAGATGGAAAGGGTCTTTGTATAACATAGGAAATTAATAGTGTAATGTATAACTTAGCTCTGATGATCTCCAAAGCATGCCTGTTAGTCATTGTTACTTGCTGTACTCCATTTTTATTTGCTGTACTCCCTAAATAAAAGCCATGAGAGCTTTGGGGGCTTCGCTATTCGCCTGAGTGAGCGGTAGCCCTCTGCTTCTCTAAACTTAATCCTGCACGCTAAGCTCATCTCAGCGTCACCGTTCACAAAGAACATCAACAGGCTGCCTCCTGTATGCCTCCCACTGGGGATCGATCCCCCAGCTGGGCCATGTGCCCATCCTGGGAATGGATCCCTGATCTTGTTTATATTTTGAAGCTCAACCACTAAGCCATGCTGGCTGGGCATTTGGCAATCTTTGAAATAAGGATTCATTCTTCTTTCTCTAATAATTAAGGTGTTGTATTTATATTTTATCTATCATCCTATATAATAAAAGCCTAACATGCTAAGTGTTTGGCTGTCTGGTCATCCGTTTAACCAATCAAAGTATAATATGCTAATGATATGTTAAGTCCACTCAACTCGCTATGATATCCACTGACCACCAGGGGACAGATGCTCCAACCGGTAGGTTAGCTTGCTGCTGGGGTCTGGCTGATCGGGACTGAGCAAGATGGGCTGGACAGGCCCAGGCGCCTTCCGCAGTCCCTCCCTGGCTGGCCAAACTCTCGAATCCCTTCCCGCCCCCAATCATTCCCCAGTGGTACATGATGCACCATTGGGGTCCCTCTACCTGGCCTGCACCATCTCACAATCCAGGACCTCTGAGGGGATTTCAGAGAGTTGGTTTCAGCCCGATGCTGCAAAACATGGGAGGTGCCCCCTGGTGGTCAGTGTACTCCCACAGGGTTTGCATTGCTCAGCCAGAAGCTGAGCTCACAGCTGGTGAGTGCAGCTCCGGTGGCAGGAGCTTCTCCCACCTCTGTGGTTGCACTAAGGATGTCCAACTGTGGGCTTAGGCCTGCCCCCTGGGAGGAGCGGGCCTACGTCGACAGTAGGACATCTCCCAAGGGCTCCCAGACAGCAAGAGGGTGCAAGCTGGGCTCAGGGATCCCCCCTGAGTGCACGATGTTTATGCACCATGCCTTCAGTTTTAATATATTAGGAAAACTTTAATGAGTATCACAAAATGGTTCTTATGGATCTAGTGTACATGTTTAATGTGATTCTAACTCACTAAAGGTCTTTCTGTCTCCCATTATCACCAGAGTACACAAAATGGAGATAGCAGTTATCAGTGGATTGAACATTGGAACAAATTTAAGCAAGAGTCATGTCTTAATCATCGGACAAGTGAGCTTACAGTGGACCATCGTAAAAGTGGAAATGTCTTTGACCAAATGTCCTCTCACAATATATGTCAGGTTATTCCTATTGTGGAGAAGACACACCAAGTAAGTCAATGTGTCCACACTTTTCAGCAGTCTTCAGATTACAGTGGACAAGAGAATATTCATCCTGGGGAGGAGGCTAACAAATGGAATCCTTGTGGTAGAATCTCCAGTCAAATATACAATATAAATGGACAGGAAATCCATAGTGGAGAAAAATCTTATAAATGTAAAGATTCTGGAAAAACATCTAATTGGCCTTCAGGTTGTACTCTAAAAAGGAGAATTCGTACTGGAGAGAAGCCTTACAAATGTAAAGCATGTTGCAAAGCCTTTAAATGTCATTCATCTCTTATTGTACATCAGGGAAGAATTCATGCTACTGCAAAATTTTACAAACTCAGGGAAAATGGAAAAGGCTTTAGTCAGTCCTCAAGACATTCTCAACATCATAGAAATCATAGGGAAAAAAAGACTTATAACTGTTCAGAATGTGACAAAGCCTTTAGCCTACCCTCAACCCTTATTCTTCATCAGAGAATTCACACTGGAGAGAAACCTTATAAATGTAGAGAATGTGGTAAAGTATTCCTCCATGCCTCAAACATGATTCGACATTGGAAAGTTCATACTGGAGAGAAACCTTACAAATGTAGTGAATGTTTCAAAGCCTTTAGTGAGTCCTCCTCCCTTAATCGTCATCAGCATATTCATACTGGAGAGAAGCCTTATAAATGTACAGAATGTGGCAAAGCGTTCATTGAGTCTGCGAAACTTAAACGACATCAGACAGTTCATACTGGAGAGAAGCCATATCAATGTAGAGAATGTGACAAAGCCTTTTGCCGTCCCTCAACCCTTACTATTCATCAGAGAATTCACACTGGAGAGAAACCTTATGAATGTAGAGAATGTGGCAAATCCTTTATCAGCCATGCAGGTCTTACTAATCATCAAGGTGTTCATACTGAAGATAAGCTTTATAAATGTAAAGAATGTGGTAGAGCATTCCTCCTTGCCTCAAACATGATTCGACATCAGAAAGTTCATACTGGAGAGAAACCTTACAAATGTAGAGAATGTGGCAAAGCCTTTAGCGAGTCCTCCTCTCTTCATAGACATCAGACAGTTCATACTGGTGAGAAGCTTTACAAATGCAGAGAATGTGGCAAAGCCTTTGGGCACTCCTCATCCCTTCGTTATCATCAGAGAGTTCATACTGGAGAGAGGCCTTACAAATGTAGAGAATGCGGCAAAGCCTTCAAGAAATCCCAAACTCTTACTGACCATCAGAAAACTCATACTGGAGAGAAGCTTCATGAATGTAGAGAATGTGGCAAAGGCTTTAGACAGACCTCAACCCTTACTGAACATCAGAGAATTCATACTGGAGAGAAACCTTATAAATGTACAGAATGTGGCAAAGCCTTTAGACGGTCCTCACATCTTACTTTGCATCAGAGAGTTCATACTGGAGAGAAGCCGTATAAATGTAGAGAATGTGGCAAAGGATTCAGTGCAGCACAATCTCTTAATTGTCATCAGAGTGTTCATACCGGGGAGAAGCCTTATAAATGTAGAGAATGTGGCAAAGGATACAGTACGGCAAAAACTCTTAATTACCATCAGAGATTTCATACCGGGGAGAAGTCTTATAATTGTAATGAATGTGGCAAAGCGTTTAGCCATTCCTCAAACTTGTCTAGGCATAAGAGATTTCATACTAGAGAGAAGCCTTTTAAATGTAATGAATGTGGCAAAGCCTATGCCTATTCCTCATCCCTTTATCGTCATCATAGTGTTCATAGTGGAAAGAAACCTTATATGTGTAATGAATGCAGCAAAGGCTTCAGTGAGTTCTCTAACTTTACACGCCATCAAAGAGTTCATAGTGGTGAGAAGCCTTACAAATGCAATCAATGTGGCAAAGCCTTTAGCCGTTCCTCACACCTTACTAATCATCAGAGAGTTCATGCTAGAGAGTAACTGTGCTAGGGTGAGGGACTGTGGCATGGAAGGGTTACAGAATGTTACAGAATGTGCTAAGGGGAGGAAATAAGACATGAGAAATTGAATGTGCTCGGAGGGAGGGGGATGTAGGAGGAAGGATTGTGTTGCCAGGATATGAAGAAGGATTGTGTATGTGCTGGGAGGAGGGACTGACGTATGGAGGGGGGTTGCAGGGTTAGGAACCATGGAAGAAAAATTGCTAGATTGTCTTAGACCAGTCAGGTGTGACTCTGTTTACCCCCCCTTTTGTGCTTATGAACTTTCTGTGAACTTCTAAGGTAACACTGTTTTGCTATAAAGGATCATACTGCACCCTTGGTCTCTGCCACATGCCGTGAGGCTTCCCAGAGGGGGAAGGTACGGGCTGTGGTCAGCTGGCCAGCTTAATAAAAGGCTTTCAAATTTAAATTCTGAGTCGGTGGTCTATCTCGTTGAGCCAACCCATAACATTTGGAGGCCCCAGCGAGACACCTGGCAGGGGTGAGAGGGACCCCTTGTTTAGGGCAGGAGGCTCTCCCCCAGCAGGGGTGAGAGGGACCCCCTATTCAAGGCAGGAGGCTCTCCCCCACTTGTCGCCGGGCACTCAGCGAGATACCCCACACCTGTGGAGAACGACTACCAAGGAGGCCTCCAGTCCACCCAAAACTTTCAATTCGGAAACCAAGCCACCTGGACTCTCGAGAGAGGTAAGGGACTGGTCGTTAAACTGGAATTGGGACGTCCCACGGAAGGACCTATACGGAGGGCTGGACGCAGCGGTACTCCTGGTCCTGACCCGCAGCCACGACGGTGGCCGGGGTCCCTGGTTCGTGCGGCTGTAGGCTGCACTGGGTTTGTCTGTCTGGTATTTGTTTGTCTTGGTATTTGTTGTCAAAAAGTTGTCTGCTTCTGTGTATACCCTGCTGCAATGTTTTTTGAAAAATTTTCAGGACTTCAAGGAGCAAGCTGCAGGTTCCGGGCAACCTTAGGTTGCATTTGGCTGATGTATTTTGTCTTTGTTCTTTGTTGTCTTTGTCTTTGTCAAATGGGATAGGGTCAGTCATCTTTGTCGACCCCCTATCAGTCAGGCCCACTCCGGGTGAGTGGAAGGGGAGCTTGATCACCTCCTGGGAAGCTATAGAGCTCCCTCAGGAATTAGGAAATTGTTAGGAATTGGGTGGATTGTTTAAACTCTGAGTGAATGTCTGGTGAAAGTGTGTGAGTGTGGAGGGAGGGGCCCTGCCCTCTCCTCTCCTTTATGTGGCTCCATGACTTCGGTTACGGAGTCCGAGTGGGCCCCAACCTGCGGTTCTGCTATTCGTCATATGGCATAACGGTGACTCACCCCCATGTGGAGGCGACCAGGCCCGGGGTTTATACGGGTGCACCTTAGCTACGACGAACCTAAGCTCCCAAGGGACGCGGCCAGGCGGGCATCTGAGTGAGGCTGTGAAAACAGGTCACCCCCTCCCTTGTCTGTCTCTCACCACCGATCATCATGGGGTCGGGACAAAGTTTGTTTGTGTGGGACTGGCCAAATTACTACAGAGAAGGGAGACTGGATACAGCTCCAGCCTGGGTTGGTCTATTAAGAAAGTGTAAATCATTACTGGTCTGTATGAAGTAAAAACTACTTTGATTTATTCTGCTTTCTGTTGATACGCTTGGCTGAACGTTTGGGCTGGCCCCTTGGCAGTCTGCAAATAGTCTCTCGGCAGCTGCGAGAATTATTTTTCTCAGAGTCTTTTGCTCACTGTTAAGGAGAATCAGCTCACTTAGTTAATAAAGATTTCTGTATATCAGCTGCTCTTACCTAGGTTGTAATTTACTGTATTAAACTGAAGTTCTAGGGTAGATTTAAAGGTTATAATGTTAATGCTTTTGATTTACAGCGATTCTGTGAATGGGAGTGGCCCACTTTCCAGGAGGGGTGGCCGGATGCAGGGTCTTTTGATCTGACCACTGCCTGCCAGGTCATTATGTCATACACGGCCGCCCAGGGCACCTAATCAAATTCCTTATATTCAAGTTTAGGTTGACATATTGTCCAAGAAACCCCGGTAAATGAGGACTTGCCTCCCGAGGGAAAAATTGGGACAGAGACAGACAATTCTTTTGGCCGGGCCCCAGAAGGGAAAGGCTCCCCCGGTCCTTCAGGGAGAGCAGGAAGAACCCATTAGCCGGCCGCCCCCTATGGTCCCCAGGCGCCAGATCCGGGGAAGCCCCGGCCTCAAGCCCAGGCCATGCCACCAGCTCTTGACCTGGAGCCCCTGCCTCCCCCGATGCCAATTGTCTTCCCTCTGGACCCACAGACGGGAGGGGTTTTGTCGTCCTTCAGCCACTTCAGTCCATCCCATACTAGACAGGGACAGTGTATGGGGAGAGAGGGGGTGGGGGGCGAGAACCTGCAGGACCTTGCAACATCCGCCAGTCCTGCAGTTCCTATGTTGCCACTACGGCAGGCCGGCCCTCTATAGATCTGGGGCCAGACAAGCAGCCCTCTGGGGAAGCAAGGCAGATCGAGACGCTATTTCCCATCTCCAGACCAGATTGGGGGGTGAATGAACAAAGAAGGGGGGCTGGATGCCTGAGCTGCCTGCAGTGGCCCTGAAAAAAGAAGCAGTAGCAACAGCGAAAAAATAGAGAACAGCAGAAATTTACCTGACACTAGAGCTGCCTCACTGCTGCTGCCCAGTGAGAAATGAGTGTTTTACAACAAGCAATACAAGACTTAGGCCTTTGGCTTGCAGGCTACAGCAGTTAAGCCAGAAGCCAGTGACTGGTACTAGCCTTCCTACAGCCCCAGGAATAGAGCAGCAAGCCTGAGATCTATGAAAGCTGAAGATAGAGTTAGTAAAAGCTCCCTGCTTGCAAATGTACTGAAAGGGTTTAGTACCTGTTGCTGCTGGAAGAGGAGGGGCTGATATCCCCTTCCAGTACACTCCCTTCAAAGAGGCCTGGTCGCTGCTCTGCCATAAAGGGGACTGGTGGGAAGACAAGGAAAGCAGGGCCCTGTAACTAATAAACAGAGTTAAGAAAAGGGCACTCTCCCTGGACCTGGGAGCCATCAGGACTTTGAAATTCTCCAAGAGAGGAGAAGTCTGACTCAGAGACTAGCCGAAACCTCTTTGGGTTAGGAGGACCAGAGGCTGCATATTGAACTTATAGACTGCAATTTGCTAGGCAGAGGTCCAAGCCCAGTTGTATAGGGATTAAGCTACCTATGTACAGCAAAACAACTTTCTCCTGTGCCAGAATACATTTTAAGGAAATTGGACAAACTGTATTTGTGGCTAGAAAGAAGAACTGGCCTATGTGTAAACTGTCCTGGAAAAAGGCTACGTGGAATGAACCCAAAAAGTAAAGGGTGTCTAGCTGCTGAGAGGGCAGTTGCCCAGGTGGGCAAAGTAGAATACCCATTAAATTTTGGTCTCTATTGAGAGACAGTTGACAGTTAGCAACCTGTATACTGTCTTACAGGCCTGTGTGACCATGCCCATGTCAGGGGTGGCACAAAACCTCAACTGTAGGAAACTGGGGAAGGCCTGTCTAGAACAGAGGGGTTAATAAAGTGGTGAATACTAGCCCTCTGTTACAGGAATTACAGACCCTGTGAGGTCCTGTGACATATAAGACCCTGTAGGGAAATAAAGCTCCTTGAGTCCATTCTGAAAGAACAAATAAAAGACAGATTAAAGGCTGTGTTTCCCTCCAGGCAACCCAACTGGAACCCCTATAGTGACAGGGGAAAGGAGGCTCTCGATCGGTATCGGCAGACTCTATTAGGGGGCATCCGAGCTGCTGCTTGGAGACCCACAAACCTCTCTAAGGTGACAGAGACAGTCCAGGGGCCTAACCCTGATGCCCTGGAAAGTTGGAGGGCTGTCAATGTTGCATTTGTTTCCAAGTCGGCCCCAAATATTAGGAAAAAATGACAAGTTAGAAGGCTTTGAGGGGAAATCAATCTCTGAGTTGGTTGAGGTGGCCCAGAAGGTTTTTAACAATTGGGAGGACCCGACGGCAGATTTAAACACCCAAATGGCGAAGATCCTCCTGGCCCTTAACGAGGAAAAAGGCCCAAGGGGCCGGAGAGACAACAGGGGCCTAGAAAAGCCTCGCAGGAGAAAAGGAGTCCAACCCAGGCTTGGGAAAAATCAATGTGCATTTTGCAGAAAGGAAGGACATTGGAAAAGGGAGTGCCCTGAACGTGCGGGGGAACCGACTCCCTCCCATGCTGGTGGAGGAGGTGGATTGGGGTTGTTGGGGCTCAGCTGGCCCCCAGGAGCCCAGAATAACCCTGACAGTGGGGGGCCAAAAGGTGGACTTCCTTGTGGAACTTATGGCACTCACTCAGGCCCTCTGGTGGGGAAAGGAAAAGAGAGTAAACATTTCAGCTTCCTGAAAACAGCTGCCTTGAACCCTGCCACACTCCTCCCTGACGAGAAGGCAGAGGCCCCTTTGCCTGACTGTGAGGAGACACTGACTACCCTCACTTCCCTCCCTGAGGACCTTGTGGACCAGCCCTGCAGAATCCGGATGAGACCCTCTACACGGACGACGGGAGCAGCTTCGTAGAGGAAGGTACCTGGTAGCGGGGGGCACATGAGGAGGAGCCAGGGGAGATCTAAGAAGCCCTGGTAAGCTCCCCGGCACTGGCCCTGCCAGACCTACCCAGGGACTACAGGGATATATCTCCTCACACTGCCCTTACAGGAGGACACGGGAGCCACCTTAAAGAAGTCTCCTGACCTCAGGAGGAAAGAAAAAAGCTCCTGAGATACTTAACCACCTGGCAGCCATATAGGGGCCAAGGAATTGACTAAAAGACCAGTAGGGCCCCTAGAAGTTCTCGTAGCCCTGCCAGCACGAAGGCTCCCAGAGAAGCCTACTCATCTGCCAGAGAAGCAGAGGCTAGCTGAGAAACTAAGGGCCCAGGAAGGAGAGGCTGGATGGCTAATTCTGCCAGATGGGAGGCCTATAATGCCAGAAGCCCTGGGGCAGACCATCGCTTCCCAGACCCACCAGAGCACCCACCTGGGGGAATGAAGCTATCAGAA